CGAATAAACTGGCAAGAAAATTAAATACATATAGCATGAATATCTGTCATACAGACAAAATGAGACAATAGATAACAGTGTTATTAGATTGATAAGTTACAATTCGTGTAATGTTATATTGATTGAAGAACGCAAAAGTTTATACATATGTTAGACTCAGACATACGTATTGAGTATGTAGAGTATTTTCATTTTCATGTACAAAGTCTGATAACTAATTTTATATTAAATTGTTTTAAATTAGCTCGCCTTTCATTTAACAAGCTTCGAATGTTCTATGTATGTAAATTTATTTAAAATTATCGATTTCAGTCACACGTGAATTAACACTAAACGGAAAGCAGTACCTATATATGCACGGTCAGAAATTTAGGATTCACCAAAACGAGGGAGATAAGGTCCGGTGGCGGTGTATAAAGAAAACTATAGGATGCAAAGCTTTCATCATCACTATGAATGGAATTGTTTTACGAACACGTCATAATCACAACCATTGAACGACTTGTTTGTGAATTAATATTTATTTCATAATGAAATTGGAAGTAAAACGAATTACATATGGTATAATATGGTAGTCTGAATACATGTGGCTAATTACAAATAAAACACGCCATTGTTTGATACGAGCCTTGTAGGATAGGATGTAAATTGTCAATAGCGCTGACGTTGAAATTTGGTATATATGTGATTTGAAAGTCTAATCAGGATTTGTACAAATGAATGTTACTAAGTTATTTTTAGGTTTGTTTGTATGTGTGTAATTTGGAATCTAGTTTACATATAACAGTATTATTTCTTCCATATTATATTTGGTTAATTACCTACCATTTGACATGGATAGCAAACGTTAGGTATTTCAAACCCTTTTTTATAAAACAGAGGGTAAACGTGTAGGAGGCTCATCTGATGTCAAGTGTCAATGCCCATAAACACTCACATTGCCAGAGGGCGGAAAGCCATTTGTTTTTGTGTTTGTAATTCATTCGAAATAATTTTGTATTTAATAGGTGATGCCAAGAAATAATCATGTCATTAAACAATGAAATTATTATTATATTAGTATTTTTTGATCCACTGCGAACCCCCTAACTATATTTACACAACGTACAACGTATATTTGTCTCAAGTTTTTTTGTTCTTTGTGAAAAGTTCTTGATATTAGAATGGATCAGTACTTCAACAACTGTTCTATGTACTTTTATCAATTAATTGATGTGTCCGTTTCGTTTCCTTATATGATAAATCATGATGTTAATTATAATTTAATTTTCAGTAAAATTCGGATATAATGACCAAGGAAAATTGTTTTTATTATGTAACGGAAATAAATTTACGGTTCACCAAAATGAGAGAAATAAACTAAGATGGCGCTGCATTCAAAAGAAAATTGGATGTATGGCTTTCATCACAACTGGTCTTGATTATGTTGTGTATAAAATGAAACATAATCATAATCACTAATACAAATGTTAGTTTGTATTTAGCTTTTGGTTCAATATAGAAGCGGATAAACGAGAATGTTATAACACGTATTTAAAACGTGTTTAAAGAATAAATAATTTTTCTCCTAGTTCGTTTACTGAAAAAATCATTTAAGAAGATTTCAATACATCAGTACCGTATAATATTTATGTAGAGATTTTGTTTAGACCAAGTCTAGTATATAATTATGTTTGATCGACACAAAGTCTGTATAGCTTGTTGGTCACGTAAAAAGTCAAAGCGCTCTATTACTTGACTGCAAAAAAAGTTTTGTCATATGTAGTATTATATTATTGTTATAATATACGTAATTTTGTCAAATTTCAAGGCCAAGCATTATCTAGCCACGAAAGTTTAGTTCACGCCAAAAAGTTCAGTATTTTTATAAATACATCTAGTCTTCTCTTGTTACGGAAACTGGTTAGACTACTGGCGACAAAGCTTCGTATTAAGTAGTAGAACCATATTGATGTTCGTCATAATATACTTTGTAATATGGTAGCGTAAACTATTAATTAATCTATTTATTACTAATTATTATTTAAAACTATTTCCCGAATAGTCGCAGATATATGATTTTTGTGTTGATATAAAATAGCAACCAAAAACTTTGACTGATCCTAAGACTACCCTTCAATTAAAATTTGAAATGTTTCTGTTGTATTAAAAGACTCGACTAATTTTAATTAAGACGACTATGTGTGTATTGTTAAATATATGCATCTATTTCCTTAGTTCTAAAATTAAAAATTTTCTCCGACTGACTTTCATGTTCTCTACAATTATTTCTACTTATATTATTTTATTAACAATTATTACAACTTAACTTAATATATTAACGTATAAAACAATAACAATAAATTAAATTATAGGAATTTTGTCATACATTATTTATTGGAATTTTCATTCTACTAACGAGAGTTTTGTTTTTAGATTTTCTTCGGACACTATTTCGTAAGCGATACTGGGGTGATTCTACAAATATTTACGTCGGAGGCCATAAATTCTGTCGGCATTCGCGGTCGCTAGCTGGGAACAGAATCAGGTGGACATGCTCGAAGAAACATAAGCTTAAGTGTAAGGCTTCCGCGGTGACGATAGATGGCGTGGTGGTCTCCACGACTGGTCTACATTCACATAATTAGGTGTAAGTTGCAACCATGTTCGACCAAGTTTCTTGACTTCTTATTGATTAAAACTATAATGCTATTCGTCTTTTGTCAAGTTGTGCGTATATATTCAGTTGCTTTAGTTAAAATGTGTAATTTATTTGGCGAACAAGGGTTTTCAGCCTTGAATTTATTTATTTGTAGAATTTAAAGTTTTATACATACATAGCGTATATGTATATTTTTAAATGTGATGCAGTTTTTATGCGATGACTTCATTTTAGAATATTCCTTTATAATTTAAATATTCATACATCTATTATACATATATCTGTTTTTTTTTTCATAAATACACTCTTGAATGGGTCTTATAAAGGCCGGCAACGTACGTGCGAGCCTTCTGGCTATGTGAGTGCCCATGGGCGGCGATATCACTTAACATCAGGTGAGCCTCCAGTCCGTTTGCCTCCTATTAAATAAAATAAAACTATATTATAAACCATATATGTAATTAATTGCCTGATTGGATTAGGCTGTAGGTACTTTGTTAATCAATAATTTTGAATTTAATTAAATAGAATTTGACTTGATTTCCACGCCACCTGTTGGGGCCAATTCAATGTTGAAAAAGGTGACATGCATAGTTCATTGATCTTAAATTATTAATAATAGTTTGTAGAGCAAACTAATTTTAAGTATAGAAAAAATAAGACATTTTTATGGAACCCTTATTAACTTTAATAATTTATTACAATCATTTAAGGTTAATGAACTCAGTTTAGATCCAGTTTAATAATAACTATATGAATTTATTAATTGTACTAACGATTAGATTAAGTATAAAATATTTTTATAATAAAATTATTTATCGAATGTAATATTAAACATTCCACTTAGTATTGTTACGATTAAGTGAATACTTTTATGGTCTGTTTCACAATGTACGGATAAGTTCTACATAAGTTCCAAATAGGCTGTTTATTACTTATTGGTAGGATAAACACCTATTGTTGCGTTTCACGACTGTCAGATAGCGCTATTCGTCACATAAAGTCCATCAAAACTTATGAGTCCGATGAAATGTCAAATAGGACAATTTATCTTCCAAATAATTTATGTGTTGCATAGCTATTTGGTACTTTATCCATCCATTGTGTAACAGACCCTTAATGTTTTAAAACTACGATTTAAGCAAAAAATATTTTATTAACGACGTTGAGTGTATAATTTTCAAAATTGTTATATTTCCATTAATTAGTGGTAAATCGAAAATAGTTTTTACTGTTTAAATATAATCAGTTTTTAATGGTTTTTTTATTAAAAAATACGGAGTTTTATCTCTATAAAATGATTGGTCCCGATTATCCAGCCTAAAGTTTAAGTTAGATTTAAAATTTTGACATTTAAGGTATCACAGACTTTTAGGTATCACAATTGTATGGTAGTTTTTCAAAGGTACATTGATTTTGGCGCATATACTGGGTAACAAGATAAAATAAAAATATGGGTTTTTAACTTTATACTTAGAAGTATGTTGCTACATTTTGTAAATAAGACAGAAAATTTATAAATAAAAAAAATATATCTCAGAAGAAAATGTAACTTATAATATAAGACATATATAATATATATTTTAGATTATTTAAAAGGCTCAGTCCGTTACCAGAGCCCCTCACAAACATTACCTACACATCTCTCATATCTGAATCGCTAAGTGAATGATATAATCAAATACATAGTTATATTAATTACTCAGTGTAGGTTCGAACGCCCGCTGTGCACCAATGGTTTTTCTGTCTATGTGTGTTTTCAACACTCGGTCATACGGCGAAGAAAACCATCGTGAGGAAATTGTCATGTCTTAGACCTAAATAGTTGACGGGCTGTGTCAGGCACAGCAGGTAGATCACCTATTTGTATTAGAAACATCACGAAACAGTAAATACCCTACAAGGTTGTCGCAGTGTCCAGTAAATAAATCGATTAGTAATATAATATATATATATATATCCTTTTTGTTGATATATAAAATTTTATTTGATTACACTAATATTACAAAGTAGTTTTTAAAATTTTTGTATTGGATAATGCTTCTGGACCGAAATCCTAAAATCTGTAATGATCCGAATGCTGCATTATTATAGTAGAGGGAAAAAGATAAATCTACAAAGACATAATAATTGTTCGAAAAATAATAAATTGTGTTATTTCAGGATACGAGGTTTTACCTCGCGGTGAAAATAGTTTTTTAATAAGAATCGGTGGCTATACATTTTCTACGAACTACTCAAGTTCCACAGGGAGAAGTGTCTGGTACTGCTCTAAACGAAAGCGTCGGAATTGCAAAGTGACCGTTAAAATGATGAACTCCCAGATATTGAATGTCACCGGGCACCACAATCATTAATTATGAAAGCATCAGCTAGAAGTACCAAAGTGTTAGTGGCAATTGTCCAGGTCAAAAATCATAGGAATAATGACTTTCTAATTTGATTTTTTCTGAATATGAGTACTTTTAAAATTTTATAATAACAGTGTTTTTAAGTAATAGGGGTTTTTTTATGTTTATGCAATAATGGCACTATTGTTAGAGTAAGACTTTTTATTAATCGCTTTTATATTTTGGTATTAATAAGGTAAATAACTGGTATTTTTCTCTTTCAGGTAAACTGCTGTATTAACTCACGTAAGTTTAGTAATTAAGATGTAAAAAAAAATTATAAAGTGATCCCGTTTATTTTTCACGTTTACTAGGTTTTGTGAATACGTAAGTGTCAAGTGGTAAGGTGTTTTTTGATTTTAGTTGATAGTAAATTATACGAAATTTTTTCCATTGTATAGTCTCGCAAATAGTGCAAACGTTTTCGTTGATCAAACGTGGTCAACATTGCGTCACTGTAGAATGAGAACCTCGTATGTCGAAAAAACCATTTATTTTTTATTCTTAGACTCTTATGTCATGTAACTGGTATAATCGTGGAGTAAGGACTTATTTATGTTATTAATAAATAAGTCCTTTTTACCATCTAAAACTATGGACACAAATACAATAATATTTTAAAGAATATTGATGAAATGAAATTTTTTAATCGTTTCCTGTAATGTTTGGTTCTCTGGACATACGAGGTTATCATTCTACAGCGACGATAGGAGGGTGTGGTTGTTTAATTATAGTGTATATAACAGTGAATTTACAGGAATTTTTGATGTTCAGAACTGGCTTGACAGTTACGAACCAACACACAAAGTCGTACTTATTAATGTACCGACTCGACCACGACGGCGACACCTCTTGCCAATAGAAGACCATCTCCTAAAGGAAATTGAAAGGAAAAATGGAAAGCTAATTCGGCGGAGATGTGTGGGTTGCTATGATGCGAGAAGAAACTTGGGCGAACCGCCCAAAATAGCTACTAATAATGCGAAAAAAGTTTCACAAGCGTGCAGTGTGTGCGTTAAGCCTTATTGTTTTAATTGTTTTCATCAATTTCACACAAACTCGCGATTAAATGTATGATCGCTTTTGTTTTAGTATTAATTTAGTAGCTCTTTGAGTTGTCTGTGTGCCTGGTATGCCTGTTACACAATAGTAGAAAATTGTTTAAATCTTTTAAATTTAAATTAATATGAATTACACGATATATGTACATAATTTGATTTATTGTTAATTAAAACAAATCCCTTAATCTTTAAGTCTATACAAAAACGACCAAATGCACAAAGCATTTACTTTTTTATTGCTAAGAAATATGGAAGTTGAATTGATTCCTTGATAGTTAAGGAATAATTGTATATTTTATTGAATATTTCCTAAGAAAAAATAAACACAAACTCCCATCTAAAAATTCAATATTTTCAGTGGAATACGTCACGTCCCAGAAAGGAAAGATTTTGATGAAACTTCATGGGTATACATACTCTTTAAAGAGTGACACAAAGTGCAGAAAAAAGAATCGTTGGGTATGCTCCACCCACCAAGTGAAAAGGTGCCCGGGGGTCATCCTCATCACTGATGGAAAGATCGTTAGCATGAATGAAAACCACAACCATCCACCGAAATTGAAAGAACTTCTTCCATTCATGTATGGCCCACCTGCTTGGTTTACGTATGATCAAAATCGCCAAGTGAAAGATGAAAATTCATAGATATTTCGTTAATATAGCCTAGTTCTTAAGACTTGTGTGGTAAGGGTAAAAATAGTCTCCAAACCCATTAAAACAATCAAGTTATATCGGTGTTATAGTTGACTTCATTTCATGGAATTTATCATTCCTTGTGTTTTAATTTCTTACTTACTACAAAGACGTAAACAGCTCGTAAAGTACAAAATATTAAATCAATTTTAGTAATGTTGAAATTGAATTTGGAAGTATCTACAATTGTAGATTTTCAATTATTTTCTTACAATGAAATGTTGTCAATTCTGTTATCTGAGAAAATGAATTTAATGTTAGTATTAAGTAAGTATTATTGCTACTGCATTTAAATTATTGGACATATTTTCAGCGTATATATATATATATATATATATATATGTGTTGTATTCCTATTTACTTCCTTCTTGTCATTATTTTTTTTTTTTCCACCTTTTTTTTTTTTTTTTATTCACTTTTTTTTACATAACTAAGTTATATTTTTCACTTTCTAAACTTTTTGAATTTTTTTGCATTACACCTTTTTAACCTGCCTCCATAGCGACTTTCATTTCAAGCTCTTTTTTATATATTTTATATCAATCTTTTTAACACAAACTATTCCTTAGAACATTTCCTCATCTTGTTTCCTACCTTACAATCCCCTTTTTCTATAACTACCATAAGCACTTCAAACTCGCCTCTTCCTCTATCGACATCTGGTATTTGATCTCACCGTATCTCCAACAGAACATGGAGGAAATTTAAATTAGATAAGGCTTTATTTTCTTAGCTTGATTTTCTAACTAATCGGAGATAATTATGTTTATTTATATTTTGTTGAGTAGTCAATTTCACATAAGTTTATTTCTTTTACTTGTGCCTGGTTCATACATCTACTACACTTAATTCGTCTTTTTTTTCCTTTCTTCTAATTTATTTCTAATAAAACTTCCTTCCCTTTTTTTATTTAAAACTTCTTTTCATATCGCTTCTCATCTCTTTTTATGGTAATTCTCTATTCCAGCTTACATTTAGTAAATCTTCTTAGATTTTGTCTAATTCCGTCTTTTTTGGATTTGATAATTTTTTATAAATTCCTCAACATTTTTAGTTTTATTATATTGAAATAACTTCTTTTGGAAGAGAAGACGACCTAACCCACCTTACATCACTCCAACTGTTGGACTCGTTTTATTCCATCGTGGATCCCTATTTCATTAATTGTACGAATTCAAACCTTCGACCAACTTACATTTTCGTCTTCATCCACTCATAAGCATATTTTGTACGTCTTGATTTGCTCTTTCCACACTACTTAGACTGATATGGCGAGGTTTGCCATGTACTATCTTCAGACCGCTCCACATAGCACACTCTTCCCCATTACATTTGCAAACTCCCCATTTCTATTGAAGATTGATCCAAATACATATTCCAAACTTATACAACTTCTACCTTAGATTTAACCCAGTTACAATTAATGATCTTATAGACCATTATATTAAGTGTGGAGACTCATGTCAATTAATCTACTTGACAGCGACTATTCATTTCTTTGACACCAATGTTTGACAACAATTCCTTTTTAGCAGACTTTAACTTTTTTTGGCATGGTTCGCATAGTCGTAAATATAATTTGATTACTTTTGAGTAATATTTTTTATTTTTTTACATTCTTTTTCCATTCGATGTTTTCTCCTGTCCAACCCAATAGTTTCATCAAAATATCGAACATTTCATCATTAGTCACTAATATTTAATTGTTGTCTCACTTGAAGATAGAGGAGATCATTTTCACCCATACCAGCACAATCAAAACGTCATCCTATTGTAAAGTAGTTTTCGATTTAGCTTCTTTACTTTTACCAATTAATTATTTCCAAATACTTTCGTTACTAAAGTAAAAAGAATTTAATCCTTTCCTAGAATAACTCTTGAAATTTTGTATCAAAACTCTCGAAAAGAACTGCACTTTTCGGTCCCATTTTGTCACTACAGGGGGCTTTGCAACAAGACTAATGAAAATTTGCAAACTGTTGTTAAAATTTAGCCAACACATTACCCAGACAGAGTTGGGTAGAAGGTGACTGGGTAAACCCCAATTTAAATTTATTTTACTTATTATTCGGACTTTACCAAGTTGGTAATACTAATCAACCCATAAACCTAGGTTTACTCCACCTTCTAGCATTACCCGTAACATATATATTCATTCAATATAAATGATTACACAGTTTTAAAACAGATAAGTATATAGTTAAAACTGTGTAATAATTATGTATAATAATAAGGATTTAATTTTATTAGAGTATTTTGAAGTTGTCATTGTTGATGGCGTTATTATGAGAACAAGGGACTAGGTTCACTCTCTGAAAAAAATTTGTTTTAGTCTAGCCACCCACACCATATGTTCATTAACACAACACATGAAAAAATGTGTCTGTGTGACCAGAAGGCTTCACTTTTAAATGTACTATGGACTTAGAAACGAATGGCTTTTTTACCAAAAAATATATGAATTATGATTAACTTTTAAAATGAAAATAAAAGATGTGTGCTTCTTCAAATATTTCGTGTTTAATGCTAAAATGTTTGCGTGGCTAAGTTTATAGTTGATGTGTTTAGGGATCATGTAGTGCTTTGTAGGCAATTTTAATAAATTATTTTAAATATTCCATCTATTTGTAATTTCTGTGAATAAATATTGGAATTATTGTCTTTCTTTATATAAAGCTGATAATGATTTAATATTCAATAGAATAGATTTTTGTAGTTATACTTCCTTTGACATGTTAGGGAAAAATGATGAGAGTAAATTTGTACGATGCGCGCGCACACCCTGAAGTTAGCTATAGTCAACATCTTAGTTTTTTATATTGTTAGTGTCGTTTTTTCTACAAACGTAGAATAAATTTTTTGAAAAGATTTGTTCTTGTTACGCCAAAGAAGTATAACTTCTAACGCGGGTACATGATCACCTGATGTTATGTGATATTTTATATATTTTTACAGGTTTAATATTCGGACTGTCTAGACGAGGAAAGACTATGATATATTACCAAGGCTATTGTTTTTGGAAGCATATCGCTATAGGGAGCAGAGTGAGGTGGTTTTGCAGCCAGCAACGGAGTGGATGCAAAGCTTATTTGTACACATTGGAAAAAGAATTAATTAAATTTAAAGGAACTCATAACCACTAGATTTTAAAATTAGCATGAGACGGATGACCAGATTGTTCCATCGGTTTCAAATTAATTTTCATATTTTTACACACGCTTGATATTAATAAAAATTTAAATTAAAAAATAAAATATCAGTGACCTCTTTAGGCTTCAGATTTCTGAATCTATTTCATGATCATTTTTAAATCTAATATGCAAGCAGGTGTTCTTCCTCACGATGTCTTCCTTCATGTTCGAGCAAATGTTAAATGCGCACATAAAAAGAAAGTCCTTTGGTACACAGCTGGGGATCGAACCTACGACCTCTAGTATGAGTCGCACGCTGAAGTCACTAGGCCAACACTGCTCTAATAAAAATAAAAATAAAATTTATTAAAATAATAATGAATGAGTCTAGGGCGGTACAGTAGTGCTATATACGTGTCTTGGCTGGTAAGAGCGTCACTGTCATGGACATTAGTATTGCCAGTAAATAACAATTAACCATTAGAAGGGGAATAATTTGAAGTCGTGCAGAACTTAATAATTTATTGAAATGTCTTAATGAAACAATGTATACTAGTGTATCGAAAATACAGTTCTAGGCTTAAATAAATGTGTCACAAACTTAGGAACAACTGAAATGGTAGGTTTTGTTACCTGTACTATTAATATAATATCTTTTAAGATACCTAGCAATCAGAACTGTTCGATAATTAAAACTTTGCAATAATTGTAATTAATAATGCAAGGAATAAAAATGAATACATTTTAGTTGGATTTCTATTAGATGTTGTTAGATAGTAAAATTATTTTTTGTACGCACCAAGAAGTGTCTGACATTTCAAAATGGCAAAAATGGTATGTGGCACTGTAACTTGGTAACACCATCCTTCGCACCCAACCATTTGAAGAATGGCCACTTGAAGCGAGTGATTTAAGATAAATATTAATTTGAAAGATTAAATATACATATAATGATAAAAAAATCGTTTACATTGAAATTAAGTAATGTTAAACAAATAAAAAATAAATTATACTCTATGGTCTTTTAATTTCACTTGTTTTAAGAAAAATAAATATTTTATTAATTATTTATTTTAACGCGTTAGATTATTACAAATGTAACCAATCCAGGGAAGGTAATGAATGTATCTGCTTATATTTTTGAATTAAAAGTAGTTTTTTATAATTTTGGAAAATTATTTTTATCATTTAAAGTTTTACTGTGGTACATAGTTAGTGTTTTAGTTGTAAATAAACTGTATTTTTTCAGAAAACTAACATAAATTTGCCTTACAGATTTAAAACCGATGTTCGTGAAATCGCAAAGGGGGAACCAAGTGATTTTAATTGGAGAAAACCGATTTAACAGAGTAACGAGAAATGGGAACAGATCAAGATGGGTGTGTGTGAAGGCTAAGACTGGTTGTAGAGCCTCCTTGCACACAGTGGACAATTCAATTGTACGCGTATCGGGGGACCACAACCCCAAAGCTCATAGTACTCCTAACAGATTTAAGATTATCTATTAAGAAGGTTTATTAAACTAATATACCCGACTGCATATTTGAGCCTGTCAAGTTTTTAGATGCTTTTTTTCTATTAAAAGGACGTGCAAAGACAAATTACGTGCTGAAAATACGAAATAAATGAGCCTTTAGTGGCTTGCTCTCGACTTATTCTTTCTTCTTTATATAAATTAATTATTAAAATAGTCTGAAACGCATGTTAACCGCCATTGTGCGAACATTGAGATCCGAGCGACGTATTTCATAACAGGTTGTACATGAACATTGCTACGACGCAGTCGGGTAAAGGTGGAGGGTGTTTAGTTGTATTTATAGG